AAAATCACGAAAATTCGCAAATTATTTTAAGCTAGAAATTCATAAAAAATTTTCTTTTTAAATCTAAGATTTGAAAATTTTTAATAATCTTTAATATATCCTAAACAGATAAGCCGTCTCCGTTCAGAATCGTTTTTCGTATACAATGATCCCTATCATTGCATTCAAATTTAACCTACCTTAGTCAGAGGTCCACCCCACCCTCAATGTACAGCAGAACGATACCCACTTACACGCTTTTTTTTGTTGATTTTCCTGCACACCTTTCACAACTAGCTATGTAAGCTTTTACAGCAGCCATTGTAATATTAAAGTAGTGTTCCATTATCTTCTTGTCTATTTTTATCTCACTTGTGATCCCAGATTTATTATTTTTAAATACGGGACATTTTTTTAAAATCATATCTATATATAATTCAATACTTATAATTTGTATTTGCATTGGTGTTAATTTGGAGAGGGGGAGAGGGGACTTTGTTAAAAATTAACATATTTTACTTATTATATTTGAGCCATTTGGCCTAGAAGTAACATTAAATTTTACTCAGTAATATACAATATACTACCTATAAAATAAAGTTAAACACAATATTAAACAGTAGAAACAAATATAAATTATAATTAAAATTAAAAACAAATATTATGGTGACTTTCCTATAATACAATTTTAACAAAACATTGAACTTAAGAGGACGTCTCAACCACATATATTGTCTCCGTCTTACACGCGTACGACATATCAAATTGTACTCTCACTGCTCAGCAGAACACGTGTAGCTCCGTTAGTTTAAAAATTGAAGTAAATTTACCTCTTATAAAATCTAAAGATAAGATTGTTATCTAGATAACCTCATATGCTCTTTTTTATATTTTTATTTTAAAGTGAGTTATGAGTATTTTAACATTGTAAATTGTTTGTACATCTTGAAATAGTCATAAATCGCTTTAAAATTAAAATATAACAAAAGCTTATGAGGTTGTCTAGATAATAAACTTACCTATAGATTTTATAARAGGTAAATTCACTCTTATTTTTAAACTTACGGAGCTACACGACGTGTTCTTCTGAGCGTACAATTTGCTATATCGTACGCGTGTAAGACGGAGAAAACATATGCGGGTGCGACGTCCTCTTAAACAAAAATTATTATTATTAATTATTAAT